CACACACACACACACACACACACACACACACACACACACACACACACGGAAGGGAAATAAATGGGGAGAAACAGGAAGAAGGGAGGCAGGAACAGAAGGGCATGAAGGGCTTGACTGGGTAACTAGAGGCCAGGCCCACCCACATCCCGCACGCCCCTAGATCTCTAAGGAGCACCCCAAGGGGGTGGAAATGACTAAGCCAGTTGTTGCCACCTCTCACCAGAAGCACAGGCCTGACGTTGGCCCAGGTACTGTGGGAGGGGGGCACTGAGGTTGGGCTGGACCGACAAGGGAGATGATGTGCAAACCCAGAGCCTAAGACAAAAAAGGCTGACATGTGAGTTCCTTCTGGTCAGCTCTGCCACTAAAAATACTGCGTGACCTTGGCAGAGGCCCTGCATCATTCAGGCCTCTGTTTCCCCATCTATAAATCTGAGAGGGAGAAGGTAGACTGTAGACTGATTCTATAGAAGGCTCTGGTCTTCTGTAGAATCAATTCTTCAGTGGCCCCTCCTTCTACTCCTCCAACACACACAGTGAGCAGGGACCGAGATCTTTTCTATTCCCAAGAGAAACATTTTTTAAAAGGAAGCAAGAAAGGGGTGCCTGGCTGGCTCAGTCAGTGAGCATGTGACTCCCGATCTTGCGGTTGGGAGTTTGAGCCCCGTGTCAGGTGTAGAGATTACTTAAAAATAAAATCTTCAAACCAAAGCAAAGCAAACAGCTCTGGCGTGAAGGTGGAAGCAGCTCTGGCCTCCTCTCCAGTGCCTGGCACCCGAACGCCCTCCCCCCTTTTCCCTTCCCACCCCAACCCAGGGCTGAGACAGCACCTCGGGACAGGGAGGCCTGGTCAAGCTAGATGAGGGCCAGTTGAACCACAAACCAGAGCCTCCTTGAAAACACACTTCCCCCAAATGTTTATTTAAAAAGCGTCCCAAGTGTGCTTACTTTCCTTCTTACTTACTCCCCCTCAGCAGCCCCTAGCGCCAGGCTGGGCTGGACTCCAGGACACTTCCCAGGCTTCAGGGCAGGGAAGTGGGTGTGAAAGTTGAGAGTAGGGCCTGACCCTGCCACTTCAACCCTCTGGGTCCATTCCCCAAGGCCCAAACTTATGCTCAGGTCAGCTGCTGTGTGGGCCAGGGGGCTGGAGCCCTGACAGGGGAGCCAGCCTGCACTGACCCAGGAAGTTTGTGGGCCATAAATACTGGTTCCATTTCTGTTTTTTTTTAATCTGGATTCAGGCCAAAAAGCCTGTTTCCTGGCCTTAACACTAAAAAACCACAACAGCTTAAATATACCTGACTGTCTGTTTACTTTCCTCAAGAACCTGACTTGGCATCTCCCAGATTCACCCGCCCGCCTCTTTCATACTGTCTGGCCTCTTCAGGAGTACAGCCCCCCAGACCTGGGCCAGCTCTGTCCCAGAAGGCTGGCCTCCCCTGTCACTTCCCTCTTCCTCTCCCCCTTCACCGACCATGGGCCTGGCTTCACTCAGCCTCACAGACATCTGGGAAAGGCTTGCCAGATTTAACAAAAATAAATGCAGTGTGCCCGAATAAATTTGAACTTCAGATTAAAAATGAGCCATTTTTTATACAGTATGTCCCAGTACTAATGTTTGGGGCCTACTTACGCTAAAATACTATTTGTTGTTTACATGAAGTTAAAATTAACTGGGCATCCCGTATTTTATCTGGCACCTCTAGTCTGAGCAGGACAGTAGGAGGAGTTCAGTCTCTGCTCCTACTCAGCTAAAGGGAAACGTAGGCTGCATCTAAAGGCAGACGTGGTCACTGCAGAAGGAAAGGCATGAACCTGGGAGTCGGACTGCGTTAGAATCGCCCATCTGCAGCTCTAAACAGGGCCCTTGGAGCAAGGGATTTCTCAGGTCTCTCATTTGTCATATAAGTCATCACAGACAGGCCTTGCAGAGCTGGCAAGGGGATTAGCTGGTGGGAGGCCCATCAAGTTTGCCAAGCGTGTACCCGGGACAGTACCCAGGTACAATCTCAGGGGTCACTGTTCTGATTCTACCTGGTTCCCTGCCAGCCCTCCGCACATGCTAGAGGCCAGGTTTTGCACTCCACCATGTAAGCCCAGTGCCTTCATCCTCTGACAGCCTCCAAGGAAGCCTAGGATTTGCTGCTCCTGCAACTAGTCCTTATTAATAGGCATTATTCTAATTCTGCCTTCTACGGGTCAATAAGGATAAGAATTAATCAATTTTCACCACTGCGTATCCTGCCCTTACTCTGTCATTCTTGTGTTAAGGCCTTACATTTGGCCCTCACAACACCACAGTAAGATCTGTCAAAGTCCTCGATTTACAGTCAGTGAAACTGAGGCCCCCAGGGGCTGAGTACCTTCCTGGAGGACTCACAGCTGAGCATGGGTGCCAGGATTTGAATCTGGGTTGGCCTGCCTCCAAAGCCTGTGCTCCTAAGTACGAATATCATTCTGGTGTTCTGTTTCCCCTGCTCAGGCCGCTTTTGACTCTTCAGGGACAACAGTCATCGGCTGAATCTTTCTTGCATGTGAGGTTCTTTGTTAGCCCTCTAGGAAAATCAAAATCCTGCTCTGCAGGTGTGGGCAACAAAAAAGAGAAGGGGTCTCACAGGTCCAAGTGCATTCTCTCGCACCCGCTTGCATGGATGGAAGGCTTGCAGGTGCCAGGCCCACAGCTTTGTGCTCTATGGAAGCATCTCATGTAATCCTCAAGACAACCCCCTGGAGGCCACTGCCTCCATTTTCTTGGCTGAAGAAGGGTTCGTGAGATTAAGCAAACGGATCAAATTCCCAAAGACAGTAAGTGGCAGAACGAGGGTCCCACCGATGCTGTCCCCTGAAGCTGAACTCAACACTACTGCCTACACCCCCTCAATACATCTTTCCTTTCCCACTCCCCTCGAGGCATCCTGGGACCCTCAGCTGTTTCTCCACCTGGCTTTCTGTCCAGGAATGAGGAGTCCCCTCAGAGCAGCTGAAAGATCCAGAGACGCCAGGCAGGTGGATGGCCAGTCTTGAGGCCTGGCGGCTACAGGACCACCCCAAACCCCACACCCAGAGGGGCACAACTCACCACTGGCAGAGGCCAGGATCATGGCCTGCAGCATCTCCGTGTCAAACTGGTTGTTGGGCCACGTGCCGGTCTCATCGCCATTCTGGGAGCTGCAGAGAGAGTGGGGTGGTGAGTACAGCCTCCGGGGCCAGCCCAGGCCACACCCCTCCTGTCCTCTCCCAGGGAACCCAGACCTAGCACCCTGTGTCTCTGTCCCATGCAAAAAGATGGCCCGTAGGATCGGAACATGTAATGTTTGCAAATCCTTTGGAAAAATTCCTCTGCTGAGCACTCTTGCTTGCCTTGTACCGTCTATAAAAATCAAACCTTTTCTGAGACACTTCCCTAATTCCTTAAGCTCCCTCTCACGGCAAATCCGGTACAGACACTGTTCTCTAGACTGCCAGTTCCCAACCTCTGCTTTGGTAACATGAATAAAATTTGTCAGAGGGGATGCCTAAGCCCACCCAGAGCAGCCTAGGGGCCTCTGCATGGCAGCCCCGGCGGCCCTGTCCCTGGTGCTGTAGCTGTGTGCAGTGGGACAGGGTCTGCCTGCCTCCCACTAGAGCACCTAGTTACCACCTTCAGACAGTCCAAGCACTGAGGAAAACATGACGTGCTCGATAACTGTTAAAAAAAACTAACTTCTAAAGGACCTGAAGGAATTCCAACCCAACTTGGATTTTTCCCACCGTGACTATTTCCCTGCTTTGTTGGAATTTGGAAGTATGACACTTTTTCTGGGTTTTTTTGGGGGGGGGACACCCTGACACACACACAGTCTATTAGGTGATCCTTGGCACCCTTTGGCACCCAGAGTTCCTCAATAAATATATCTTGCCTGAATGAATGGGAAAAAATCCATGGAGAGAGTTAGGTCACTATGAGGGAAGGATCTGGCACCAGGGGAGTGGCTGCAGGGCAGGCCTTGAACACATGAGAGAGAGAGAGAGGGAGAGCGCGGGGGGGAGGGGGGCACAAGAGAGTGAACACGAGTGAGCAAGAGCACAAGCACATCTGTGCATTCTGTCACGGTGGGTGAGCAGAGCCAAGAAATGCTTTACAGTTTTTCCCTGCCTATGGTTTCCCCGGATCTGGGACCCCCCACCCCCAGGAAGGTGGACTTGGGCTTAGATCAGGGCACAGCTGCAGTGTGTGACCTCTACACTGTCACATCAAAGGGAGAGTTAGGGAGAGTTAGGGTTGGAGGGGAAAGTAGGAGGCTCGTTTCTCTGAGTGAGAAGAGGTGGAATTCTGTGTCCACTTATTCAACTGACATTTACCGAGCAATGACTGTGCACCAGACACTGGGCTAGATACTGGGGTTATAGTTGGGAACATGACTGAAATAATTTGTCTCTATGACGCTCATGGTCCATACTGAGAGACTGACATTAAATAATTACACATTTAATCATGACTGTGACCAGTGCCATGGAGGCAAAGAGCACGGTGTAGAGGGAAGTCTTGATTTAGTAGGGGCTAGGCAGCTCAATCAGTCCAGGCTTCCCTGGGGAAAAGGGACATTAGAAGACAAGGAATTTAAATTGGAAGAAATTTCCAGGTGATTTGCAGGACAATTCCAGCAAAACAAAAGTAGGAAGAATGACAGAAAATCACCACTTTGTAACCAGCAATCATCAGTGAATACCAAAGTATTAAAAGTGGAAGGTTGTTGCACAGTCTCAAATACTACTCACAGAGTACTTATTAATCAATTATTTAAAAATATCTTTGTAATGGAGAGATCTGGAAATACCACTTAACTAAGTGAACATAGTGAGTATCACTGACAGCTGGACAGACAGACATGAAATCATTCCCCATGTAATGCAGTGGGAGGGTGCACAGTGTCGCACGGGCAGTATTCCTGCCAAAACTGTCAACCTGCTTTCGCTGTGAGAAAATGCAAATCCAGATTGTGGAACATTTTAAAAGACAACTGGCTTGGACTCTAAAAAATGTCTGTCATGAAAAACAAAAAAGGTAAGGAGCCTGTTCTACATTAAAGGAGATGAGAGAGAGATGGCAAGCAAATGAAATTCATGCTCTTTGATTGAATCCTAGATTTGAAAAAAAATACCAGAGGTGTGGCTGGCTCAGCCTGTAAAGGCTGCAGCCTTAAAGTCATGAATTCAAGCCCCATGTTGGGTGCAGTGCTTACTTTAAAAACCAAAAACCAAAAACCAAAAAACAAAAAAAAAAAAAAACCACCAAACAGGTTAAAGAGACATTTCAAGAACATTTATGAAAATCTGCTAGTGGACTAAATATTTTTATTGCATTAGTGTTAAATTTCTCAAACGTGATCACTCTTTCATGGTTTGTAGGAGAATGCTACTATTATTAGGAGTTATATACTGACGTTTTTCAAATATTATGTTGTCTGCCACTCTCAAATGGTTCAGAAAAAAAAAAGTTTAGCGTGTGTGTGGAGAGAGAGAGAAAAACAAATGTGCAAAATATTAACAATTGATTAATCTAGGTAAAAACAGTATTTCCATGTTCATCACACTATTTTTGACAAGCTTGAAACATTTCAAAGCGAACAACTGGGAAGTAAAGTGAAGTGTCTAGAAGGGGGTGTAGTGCTGGGGTAGAGCGCTTTCCAGTTAGAGAGAGTAACACGGCCCAAGGCTCTGAGGCTGCGAAAAGCTTGGCCAGTTCAACAGACTAAGGGAAGCCAGTGTGGCTGCCCCAAGGGGAGGTGGTGTCAGGGGCTGAGGATGTACAAATGGACACTAAAGATTTTGGTCTCATCCTAAGAGCTCTGGCAAGTCACTCAGGTGTTTAAAGGGGGGAAGCGGGGGGTGTCATGATGGGATTTAAGTCTTTAAAGATCACTCTTGCTCCTGGGAGAGGACCAAGGGTTAAGGGTACCTTTGGGAGGACAGGAGCCTGGGGCTGGGGCCTCAGTCAGCTCTGTCTCCGTGGAAATCCAGGGGTCTTTACTTGCAGCCCTGCTGAGCTGTCACTGGGCCTGCTAGAGGGGCACGAGGCTGAGGCAGATGAGCTCATGCCTCAATGAAGAGCCTGACTGGGATGGAGTTGGGAGAACAAGGTCAAGGGAGGGAAGCCGAGAGAAGGGCCCCGGGGTGAACAACAGCAGCAGACACTGGTTAGGAAGATGCCCTGCGGGGACTGGGTAATGGTGTTGAGGGAAAAAAGGTGAGTGAGGAGGTGGGCCTGGAACCATGAGGGGCTGGGCTCTGGGGAGGATCCTTGGGCAATGGTTGAAGGCTGGAGGCTAAGCCGATGCGCACGCAGGCTGTCAGGTCTGTGAAGCTGGGCACGAGGTAAGTGGAGGGGGAGAGACTTCTTTTTGAACAATTTGCTGAGAGCTTCCTATTCTCCGGGTTCTGGGCTAAATTACATATAATTTAGTTGTATATATAATTTGGTTATATATACTTAGTTTATATACAGTTTAGTTAGAGCTTAGGTAGCTCGCCTATTTGAGCCTCAGAACCACCTGCAGATAAGCATTACTATGATTCTCTCTCTTTTCCAGCAGATAAATCCAGGGCTCAGAGGGGCTGAGAGACTCCCGAAGCTGCATGGCTGCTCACTGGCAGAGCTGCAACCTGAAGGGGCCTCCTGTGATTCTGAAGCCCATGCTCTTATAACACGACCCTGTACTGGGCTTCCCCAGGGAGGCCTTGGAGCCCCTGCAGCGGGGACAGGGGGCTCCTCCACGATTTAGGAGACGGTGAAAAATAAAAGTGGAGGCGATGGACTACCTTTAATTGACCATTTTCCAAGCATCTCCTATGTGTCAGCACCTGTGGCAGGCCCTAAGACATAAGAGTTGAGAGACGGCATTCTTGCCCTAAGGAGTCTGTATTCGGGGCTGCTGTGTGGGGGCGGCGTCCCAGAGGCCGGGCTGCAGAAAAACAGCTCCCTGTAGTAGGATGCAAAAAGGGAGAAATCTGGGGACATCCCCTCTGACAAGAGCCTGGATTTAACTGTGTTAAAATATAAATACATATGTATTTTTTGACATAGTAAAAGCCTGTCAGCCTGTTAAAATACACATCCTATGTCCATATGAGGGGCTGTTAGGCAACAATTTACATCCTGAACATTTTTTTCCTGCCATGGGGAAATTCTCGTGGTATCCTGCAAAGAGAACACAAAGAGGTGATAATGCTGATGGAACTCAATTACTAGGGGGAGGAAATGGTGAGAAATATACCACCTCATCAGGAATAAGAGTTCTTAATATTTTGTGAACAAGTTTGTGAACAATTTATTTAGATGAATCAGATTTTAAAAAAGACAAGATACCGGTGCATGTTGTTTGAGTGTACAAAGAAAAAAGTTTAGAAATACACATATGAAAATATTAAAGAGCTTAAGAGATTTGAGACACTCAACCAAATATAAAATGTGGGCCTTAATTTGGGTAAGTGCACAAATGAGTTAACAGAGAGACATATAATCGGGGAAATGTCAATATAGACTGGATTTCCGATAATACTAGTTTATTAATATATTATTTAGTATTAATGTATTATTAGAGTGCTTACGTGTTAAAAAAAACTGTCTGTTAAAGACAGTGAAAACTCAGATGAAATTATATGAAGGCTGAGATCTGTTTCAAAATAGTTCAAGGGGGTAACAGGGTGGAGACCCAAGTGAAACAAAGTAGGGCATTAGTTGGAGCTGGACATTGGGATCACAGAGGTTCATTAGACCCTTCTACTTTTGTACAGATTCGACAATTTCCATATTCAAAAAAATGTTAGTCGGGGGGGGCTCTCTGGGTTGTGAAATTAGAGTGCTTTCTCTTTTAAATTTTTCCTCTATTTCTCATGCTTCTATATCGAGCATGTATTTTTTTTATAAGCAGCAAAAAATAAGTTGCTACTTGCCTGCGAGTGACGGCCTAAGCTGAGGGGGAGCAGGGCGAGTGTCTCTCTGAGGAGGGGGAGTGGAAGGGGAGGGTGGGGCCATCAAGGGAGAACAGAGTAGAGACCAGGGAAAGCTAAATGGAGACTCTCCCCTCTGTGCAGAGACTGGGAACAGCTGCAGGGTGGGGCCTGGGTTACCGCCTGAGAAAGGACAAGTGGTTCGCTGGGTTCAGCGCTTGAGGTAACAGCTGCCGGGACAGGAAGCCAGAAGGGTGACTTGAGAAGGGACACTGGCTGGAAGGAGGAGCACCTGGCAAGCAGGGAACTTCACAACTTGTCTTTCTCCCTTTGGTCTAGGCAAGGTGACCCAGCACTGACTTGAACTTGGACTGGGTTTACTGGAGAACTCAACAGCAGCCCTGCTCTGAGGCTGGTGTGCCAGTAGCCAAGACGGTAGGGAGGAAGTGGAGCAGAGAAGCGGTGGGGGGCCGGAACCAGAGTGAGGCTGAACGAGAGAAATCTCCCCACTTCGTCCTCTCGCTCCAGTTGACTCACCAGAAGGGCAGCAAAGGAAGAATTCCCCGTCAGTCTGCTGATCCTGAGAGGCCTCACCTCAGGGCCTTTGCATATGCTCTTCCCTCCCTCCTTCAGCTGGGTACTTCATACTTAGCCTTCAGATCTCAGTAACACCTCATTTCCTCTTAGATTTCCCTCTGCTCCCAGACCGGGTCAAATCCCTGTTTTATGCTCTCACCACCAGGTACTGCTCTTCATAGCACTTGGGATTAACTGCAATCTTACACTTATTTTGTATTTTTGGTTAATATTTGTCTCACTCAACATATGGTAAACTCCTCAAGGACAGGAAACAGGCCTATTTTATTACCTCCTACACCTAGAATACGACCTGGCCTCCAGGAGGTGCTTACTAACTATGGAATGAACGAAGGAGAAAAGCTGCAGTTGCTGGACTGAGCCCTTAATGTTCATTTCATCTTGGCCATTCCGGAATTCCAACAGAAATGTGTGTCCCATCCCCCTCAAGTTAACTAAGGAAGGGAGCCTTCTCTTACATCTCCCCAAGAGCTCCTATGTGTATTTCAGGCCACCTAGTCTTTCATTTGATGAAAGGGACTTGAGGCAGGGCTAAGGTGCTCAACCCAGAGGGCACATCGCAAGCAGTCTATGGGCCTTCCAGGGGCAGCAGTGAATTCTGCTCCAGGACCAGTACATGGTCTGGGGTGGAGGTGGGGGGTACAGGGGCCACAAGCTGCCCAGTGCTTCTCACCACCTCAGCTCACTTCCTCCTGGAGGCTTTCTCTACACTCACATGACCCTCTTCTTCTAAGAACTTGCTATGATTTGCAACTAGACATTTTTAGTGTGATTTGTTGTCAATTTTCTGTCTCACCTGCTGGCCTGGAAGTCTTTGAGTTCAAAGATGGTGTCTGCTTGTTCATTCTTGTAGGACAGTGTTTAGAACAGGGCCTGGCTCATAGTAGAGGCCCAATAAGTAATGAATGAATGAACATGTGAATGACCTAACAGATAAGCGATAGAAAGGCTGGCAAGGCCACTGGGGCAAAACAAGACAGATGGGGTCAAGGGAGGGGCAAGGGCAGTCCAAGCCATCTGGCTTGCTGCCTCCTAGGGGCCTTCTAGGAAGTGTCCTGTGTTCTGGATACATGCGCAGGACTGCAGGAGGCGGAGGTTCCACCACATACCAAGGCCTCCTGGGTCCTTGTGGTGGTGCGGGCTCACCATCCACGGCATGTGGGGACATGTGGGCAGTAAGGGCCCGGCCAACAAGGAGGCAGGGGAAGGGGGCCTAAGCTCTGCCTCCTCTCTCTCTCCTGGGTTCCTTGGACTCCTCCAGGCTCCTAACTTTTAACAGGGATCCCTGGCCCCGAGCCCACCCTACCCCCTCAGACCGACTGAAGGTCTTTCTACAGCTTCCCTCCCCACCACCCGCAGGGGGTTCCTGTCTCAGCAGGAATTCACACTGGATTGAAATGAGCAGCTGGGGCAGCCGGGATGGGAGAGTGTGGTGGTAAAGCATTGATCAAAGACTCTGTGGGGGGGGGGGGGGCACGTGTGTGCTGGCTTGCCCACAAGTACAAAGTAATAAGAGACAGGATAAAAGGGAGACGAAGAGAAATAAAGAAAGAGTAACAGAACGAGGCCCAGGGATGCAGACAGAGACTACATACTTCGAGAGACATCCAGAGAGAGACAGAGACAAGGAAAGAGAACAGAGAGGAAAGCAGAAATAGCAAGAGATTAAGAAACCAAGAGACTGGAGACAGAGGAGAACAAAGACGCTGGGCAAGAGGGAGAGACAGAAAAGAGATCAAGGAAAAAGGGAGGCAGAAACAGAGAGGAAAAGAAAACAGACTGAGACTGAGGAGGAGTCACATTTATTCATTAATTCCACATTTCCTGAGCACCCAGCACGGCAGGTGCAGTGTGAGGCACAGATGCATGCGAGCAGGACCAAGATGCAGCAGTAAAGACAGAAACGGAGGCAGAGACAGAAGGAGAGGGAGAGAGATGGAAAGGGCAGAGAGATGAGAAAGAGTGGCAGAGACAACAGGCCTGTAGGGAGAGAGGCAGGACCAGCTGCGGGACCTAGGGCAGCCTGGAGCCAGGGCAGGACCAGGGAGACCTGCCCCTTGAGCTACCCCCTCAGTCCCACGGCCAGCGGGGCAGTCTCCGCCTTCCCCCACAGCTGCCTGGCCTCCCTCACCTGCTGGCTCTGGAGGAGGCTCTGAGCGCTGACAGGGCCTCCCCTCCTCCTCCTGCCACCCCCCCCCCAGTCTCTGCCTGAACCCCAGCCCAACCTGGAGCAGGGGGACGTAGGAATTAGATGGGTATAGAACACTTCCTTTCCACCCAGAGACCACCTCAAGACCAGGAGATAGGAAAGGGTTACGCGGGGAGAAGGGAGGGGCTGAGCGTGTGGAATGAGTTTTCAGAAGAGCCAGAGTAGAAACCTCTTCCTTCTGGGGTCTGTGTACCAGCCCCCCATACATTAAAACCTCCCTGAAATCGGAACTGAGGGAAGGAGCCCCTTGTAGCACATGCTGAGCCCTCCCCCCCCCCCCTCCGTCGTCACACTGAGAACATGCCGCAGAGAAGAGGGTGGGCTGGAGAGGAAGTCACCTACCCGCTGGTGCCAGGTCTCTGGGCCTGAGAGAATCGCCAGTCCGTGTTGGGCGGGGCTTGCTGTGGAGAAAACAGACGAAAAGGGGCTGAGGACCCACAAGCAGTCAGAGTGCCACCTGAGCCCGGGGCTGGGCAGGGAGGGAAAGAGGGGGATGGGCACAGAGGGGACAAGAGGAGGGAGGGGCAGACTCATCGCCAAAGACAAAACGTGCCCCAAGTATCAGAGGTCTGAGGTACCAGAGGCAAAGAGATAAAGTAACATCGATCTGACCATAGAGAGCAAACCCCAACTCCTTTGCTAAAGAAAGAGCCCATTCCTCCCTGCCTGACTCAGAACTGCTGAGCTGAGATTCAAGGGCAGAAAGTATCTTCTCCCCACGCCCCCCCCCCAACGAGATTTTCATGAGAATTCCACGAGCCCTAGAAGGAATTTATTCAGCTCCTCAGCTGGGAACAAAGCATCCTTGCAGCAAGATGGCCGCTGCTCCGGGTAACCCTTTTTGCGCCAGGTTGTGCTGTAACATATTCAGAGGGAGCCCTCCTCCAGGCCCTTGGCTCTCGACGACCCCTTCCCACAGCTAAACACATTATTAATTTAGGAGTCATGCCAGACTGATTCTTTGCAGGGCCTCCAAGCCCCAGGACACCTCTCACCCCCAGAACTCTGCCAGACAATGGCTGTGACTGAGGAGGAGAGAACAAGGCCGCTCTGTCTGGGGCAGAGAAAACCGCCAGGATGGGGCCCGGCAGAGATCAAGCTCCCGCAGCCTCCAAGCGGAGCCAGTGAAGCCTCCGGGGCTCCTAAGGGGCTGATCTGTAGTCATGTTCCACCTGGACGACGGTGCGGGACTTTGGCCAGACTCTTCACTCCCGAGTCCAGAGGGTGTATTATTCCATCTCTCACACACACACACACACACACACACACACACACACACACACACACACACAC